TTTCTGGCAATCTCAGGAACTTGGAAAAGTAACTTTTGGAAATTGTATTTAAAGGTGCTCTGAGCTCCAGGATCACCCTCAAAAGGCCAAACCTTCTAGACTCATATAAACACCAAATTCTAATTGGGGATAAACTTTCTTCAGATCAGTTTTCTTAGGGAGCCTTTTCCTTCCCTAAGACAGAGGACTCAGAGCCCAGACTGGGGTGTCTGGAAGGACTGCCCGTTTAATGCATGTCTCTGCCTCAGCCCACACCTCTGTCAACATCCAGGTCGAGAAACCCACTCACTTCCTAGGCATTGTCACCTATATCAGGATAATAAAAGCCACGTCAACGACTACCATTTATTGAACATCAACTATGCATTAGGCACACATCCTCATTCTTCCTTACAACAGCTCTGCAAAGTAAATATTGCTAAGCTCATTTTCTGGGGAAACTGCAAGCTAGGAAACTAAGGCTCAGCTAAGTTAAGTAAATTCCCCAGGGTCCCAACTACGTAGTTAGCTGAGAGCTAGGACACAAAGCCAGGTCTGTCAGATTGTGGCATCCCTATGGACATTCTACATGTCCAAACTCAAACTCACTGTCTTCATTCTCAAGGGAGCATCTCTGCGCTCCCAATCCTGATTAATGACCCCATCACCGCCTCAGCCATGCAGACAGATGTCTGGTGGTCTTCCTGGTCTCCCTCTCTACCTTATCTCCTCACCACGTCCTGTCAAGCTGACCTCCAAATAGCTCTCAAATCTGTCCTCACAACCCCACCTGTCCATCTCAGTCTAAGTCCCATCACCTCTTGCCAGGCTGTTTCCACACCCTCTTATCTGGTCTCCCTGCATTCAGACTCTTCTTTTATAGGCCAGTATTCATAATGTGTCCCAAATTATTCTCAAACTCGATTTTTATCCTGATGCTTCTTTACCTGCAGACTTCTCTGGTTTTACAAAAGGTCCTAAATAAAGTTCAAACTCATTAATTTCCCCTCAAAGCCTTCACTCTCCCTGATTCCCACCCATGCTCCACCCTTGCTGTCCATCTCTCTGGGACACATGGCCCATACTTGACTCAAATAGATTTCTTCTGTTCCTGGGACATGCCAAGCAATAGAAGATGCCTGCATTCCTTTGCTCCTGCCATTCCTTCTGCCTTCTCTTCCTTGTCTCAAAGCTCTCCTCCTGGAAACCTGTCCTGACTTACTGCCACTACTGAGCTGGTGGCTTCTTCTTCCAGGTTCTTGCCTCCGTGTACAGCAACACCTTGCTCTCCAAAGCTGGTAGGGGACAAGATGGATCTCAGAAGTCAAATTATCAGATAAATGAATTTGACTCTTATGAACACCAAGTTTTAAAAATGAAAATTAACCATGAAAGGTGTTCAGTACATGCATCCTGCATCCTATTTTCTCTAATTTTGGTGAAGAACTTTAGCTTCACCACTTGCCTTGGGCAAGTTTCTTGTTCTCTAGATACCTCAGTCTGCTCAGCTATAAAATGGATATGACAGTATCTACTTCACTCAGCTCATACAATGTTTTTATGTGATACTGGTCTTTATTCTAATCTAGCAGAATCCTGACACATATTTTAATTCCTACCATCAAGGTTGTGGAATTCTATCTTGCCAGCTAAGTGGGATGTTGTACTCTAGGACATTGCTGGAGATGTGGTGGGCAACCACATGTGTTTTGATTGATATCTGCAGAGTTTTGACTTCTTTTCCCTACGTTCTAAAAGCCCTGTCAAAAGCTGCATTCCTTCTATACCCAGGACAAATGAGTTTGGAGGCCTCCAAAGGCTGACCCTTTAACAGGCTCTAAATACAGCAGTGCATATGAGCTCACAGAGTAAACGCGAGTCTCTTGTGATAGTTTGCTGTTCCTTTGGGAGATGGGAAAGATCCTTATCAGAACATTCCAGAGTCTTACAAAGTTTGGCTCTTCTTTAGTTTCAGAGGACCGTGGGGAGGAGAGAGGGTGGTTTTTGCATGTGGTCTCTCCAGTTCTCTTCACAGGGACCACTTGTAGGATGTTTGAGTCTCATAGGATGTAGGATCATTTGGAGGTAATTTCAAGCCAAAGATGTAAGACTGACTGTGAGTAAGGCTGACCGCTGGGGATGCAGAGATGAAAAGGGCTTAGGCCCTGCCACCACAGAGAAGGCCTTGTCTGACCTGTCATAATCAGGTCCCCTGGCTATCTCAATAGTCTCCCATCTCTTCCCTCTGTCTGCACTCCTGAGTCCCTTTCCCAGCTCAATCCACTGGCCACAAGCCAGAGAAATCTCTGAAATGCAAACCCAGTTCAGCTATTCTTAGGACAAGCATTAGAATCCATAGTAGGAACTACAACACCCTCTCCAGCATCTTGGGATATTCAACAACTCATTCCTCCTGCTTAGGCTCAGCACATGCTGTGCCTCTACCTGGAGTACCCTTGCCCCTCCCATTCATTCTTTATGTATCTACTCAAATGTCACTTTTCTAGGAAGGATTTTTCTAGCACCTCCAGATCCTTCTTCCTTATAAAATCTATCATAGTATGAAATGGAATGTTTGTTTCTCTAATCTCTGTTCCCCTAGATAACAAGAACTCTTCTTATACCAAACCCACAAGGGTTTATTTCTATATATAAAAAATTATTCATTGATATATTAAATTACAAAATTACATTATTCTTTCAATACATATCCAAAGCAACCTGATAAAATTTAACACAAATCTTGAAACTTGCGAGAGAAGAATGTTTCCTTAAAATAAAAATAAAAACAAACAATAAGAAATATATAGAATATAATATATAAAATGAAATGGAAAAATAAAATCCTATATAATAAAGATGTAATATGCAAATGGTTGTTACATTTCTGTTACGCCTTGAAGCCTAACAACCAACCACGTGATGACCAGATCATGAATCAGCAGGAGGGTGGGGCAGTGAGCTACAAGCAGGCAGCTAAGAGCTGCAGGAGGGGGCAAGGCAGCAAGCTATGAGGGGGTGTGAGGGGAGCTACAGGAGGGCGGGGCAGCAAGTATATACTTATTTAAGTAAGAAATAAAATTATTAAAATATGATTGAGGTAACAGGGTTTTAAATCTTCAAATATCTATGATAAAATAAATTTCAGAGATATTAGCAAAAGAATATAAATAGATCAAACTATAGACAAACTAGTAGAAAATAGATTTATTGTCCCAATTAAAGAGAAGTAATGGTTTTATAATGATTTAAATGAAATAATGGAAGACTTCTCAAAGGAAAAGATAGGCAAAAAAGATTTTATAAAAGCTGATTTCTCTTAAGTAACACAAAACTTGTTTAAAAGCAAAAAAAAAAAAATGATAGAATGAAAAAATAGAAAAATACAGCCAACAAATGGTTATTATGTATAGAGTTTATATACATTACCAACAAAAACAAACCAACAACAAAAAAACACCCAAGTTCAAATGGTAATTCACCCAATAAGGGGGAGGAGGAAATAAATTTAAAGTTTGAGCTTGCTTGTTAGCAAATTAATTGAAGTAATAATGAAGTAGCTTTTCACATTGATATTAATAATACAATATAGTTGTTATTATCATGGATTACCTGGTTCTTACTGTATTCTGGCCAATAAGGAGAAAAAACAAAGCAAAGTCTAGTGCTGTTTGTTCTCAGGAAAAAGGCTCCTTGCTCAGCCTTTGCAGGCAGCTTTATATTTTGGAGGCAATTCGGTAAATGCAAATGTTTCTACACTTTGACCCAGTGACTCTCAAGCATGAGAATTTATCCCAAGGGGGTAAATTAAAGGAAGAAAAAAATAAACTACAAGTACAAAGTTGTTTATAATAGGGCTCTTCATCACAGTTAACTGTAAACATCTGAAATCCCTAACAATAGATATAGCCACACAAAAGGATAGTGTGTACCCATTAAATGATAAATACGAGAATGAGTCAAAATACATGAAATTCGTTATGAAATAACTTTTAAAAGTAGGAATAGGAAGTTATATCTACAGTCAAATTAATTGTGAAAAAAATTAAAAATATGTGTAAATACTGGGGAAAAAATAGAAATTGTTGCTTTTTCAGAATTTATGGTGAAACTTTAAGATAAATATTTTCCTAGTGTTTTGAATCTACTTTAAAAAATTAAAAATTAGAAGTGGATCAGTATGTAATAATCTTTTCATATTTCCTCTAAGGATGCATAAATTTTTTTTTTCTAAAATTAGTACTTTAAAAATTGTTGGCTTGGAATGGTATACATACAATACAATATAGAGATGATGTATTATACAATCATATACTTGAAACCTATATAATTTTATTAACCAATGTCACCCCAGTAAATTCAATAAAAAGGAAAGTAATACAATAATTAATAAATAAGAATAAAAAATAAGACATTGTTGGAAATCTTACTACTTGGAATCTTGCCCATAAGACAATCCTTAAGCAGAAGGCTTCTATGCAGAGACTGACTACAGGTAGCATGAGATATGAGATATCAGAAAAAGACCCAAGAAGATGAGTCTGGCAAAGTGGCTGGGTGGGGACTTGCAGTCACTGGGAGGGAGGGGCTGGGGTTTGACCTTTGTGGTGGCAGCAAATTTGAAAGCAAGAGATGACTCTGGTGTCTTGAAAAGAGGAACTGTTCTATTTGGGTGGCTTCCTGGGTGTGAGAGGAAAAGAAAAAGGAAGCGTCAAAAGTTCAGGCCTGGGTCGCCCTTCCAGGCGTATTCGGTGCTGATAAGGCTCAAGGAAGAGTAGCAGGATCTAGAAGGAGGGTTGGTTGGAAGGAGACAAGTTTAGAGGTTCTCTGAGTGGGCAGGAAATACGATCTGATTAATTTATTCATCTGCAAATATTTACCAAGGGGTTGCTCTGAGTACGGTCCACACTCACCACTGGGACAGACAAAGACTCTGACTGGAAGTCTAGTATTTACACTTTGATCTGGCAAAAATGAGCCCCGCTCTGGCCTAAGGAGTGCCTCTGCCAGGCCCCACCTACCTTTTTCCTGCTCCGCCGCTTCACTAAGTTCTGGAAGCTTGAGCCCCACTAAGTTCTGGTTTCTCATCAGAATGTGCTCCTTTTTAGAAAAAGCAAAAGACAACATTTCAGATGAGGACATCAGACTGGACTATTTTCTCAGTTCTGCCTATGGCTCTGTAGCCACTCAACTTAATGTGGGAGACACCAGGGACAGCCTCCAAAGTGGGCGGACAATCATGACCAGGTGGCATCTGAGGGAACCAGAAAGCCAGCCCTTCTCCCAGCCCACAAAGGTGCTTGAAACCCACAGTGGCACCACATTCTTTGAGTGAAGAACTGTTGCATTTTAAATAAGCCTGTGGGCCTCCAGGTGAATGAGCTGCCAGCCACACTGTAGCTGAGGCTGGAGAACAACAGAAGCGGAGCCCAGAGCTCTGGGGAAGGGAGGGTCCCTGGGTGGGTATGTGGCTGCCCCTGAAAGCAATCTTTGGTGAGTTCCTGGCTGTACTCTGAGGGCTGGAGCTTCCTGCCCTATTGTTCTAGGCAGTGACCTCCCACTCCCAGGAGTTGTGGCCTGCCCCCGTTCATTCTCAGTAGCCTGAGTTACTAAATTCCACACAGATGAGGCCTGAAAAGAGCTGCCTCAAGGCAGCAGGCTCAGCAGCCAGTGTCCTGCCCGGGGCCTCAGAAGACAGAGCCAAGGGAGAGATGAGGATTCTGACCCCGGTATGTAGCATAGGTCGGCTCACACCTGCTCCAAGTCCATGGCACCAGATCAGTGCCCCCAAGTGGAAATGCCTGACCCAGCTCCACACCTCTGTGGCTGGCACTATTAAGAGATTTTCAGTGTGATGGAGGCCACTTGAATGGTTTGCCCCCTGGATAAAGCAGGAAAGGATGGAGCTTATGGCCCAAATAAGATAGAGCTTTTTACCTGTTTCCTTAGCAAGCCAGAAGCCCACAGTCAATCAGCTCTCAGCCCACTGGATTGGGATGGGGATACTCAGCTGTCAGGGCAGAGGTTAGTGGGATAGGGCCTCTGGGTTCTTTATAGCTTTCTTTGCTGCAGAGAAAAGCTTGCAGGGGTATTTGGCAGGAGTGGCCTGTTATCTGGGACTTCTCTTCATTGCCAGAGGTCCATGAAGGCAAATACCTGGCTACCTGGCCCCCTTGATGCCACCTTCCCCAGAGATCTGGGACTATGGCCCACCATAGGCAGCCCTTCCAGCCTGTGCTGACTAGTATGAAAAGTTAACATCAGCAGCCAGACCCCAGCGTCCCCTGAGCCTACAACTCAGCATCATAGAAGGTTTCTTTGGACACACTAGAGTGAGTCCTGCTAGCACAGAAACCTCCTCACTTGTGCTTGACTGCTACTGGGTGCCTCTATTCCTTCCCTGTCCCACGCCCCTCTATAAGGAGCCAGGAGAGTCTTATCCAGCTCAGGCAGTGGGGGTGCCAGGTCCTGCTCTGTGGAGTCCTGGTTGTCTGGTCTGTGGCCTGTGTTGGCCCTCTGGGAAGGGAGGATTGGTTAAAGACTCCTTTGTTCTGTTGACCTCTTCTGTCCCTCATATCCCAGTCTCTCTCTCCTCCAAATCTGGACACCCCCAATTACTCATGCATAGGGTGGCAGCCCACAAAAGACCACTGTGCCTGGTTTGATGGCCAATGAAAGTTGGGGGACATCATGGATGCTGGAAGAAATTCACCAAAAAGGGAAGCAGCCCCTCATGGCCATTATTATACTTAGGGGTGGATTTGAGGCCCTTTGTTAAGAGACATCAGGAAGGAAAGCTTGGGGACATGATAAAGGAAAAGATATTTCATCCTTGCCTAACCCAGACTAAGGCATGACAAGGCACTCCATCAAGGGCTTCCTGTTTATGAGCCACCAGCTCCAGCTGGAAGGGGAAATAAGCCCAGAACTCAGGGCCCATGTACCTCCCCGCATACCACCTCCCCCTGAATGTGGTGTTGTGTGGCAACTGTGTCCCACACTGACCTCACCTGAGCAAGTGGGGTAAAAGCACCCGAAGCTGGTGTTTATGAAGATGCTGCTCAGTGGACCTGATTTATCAGGGTGGGGGAGTTTAAGGCCCCATGAGGCCCATGTGCAGGCCAGAACTGCCCTGCCCCAGGGCCCAACTCAGCCCACAGAGGTCTTCCTCCCAGAGGAAGTGCACACCCCACCCAGCTGCCCCTAGGAACTCACCTCACGGAGCTTGGTCAGTTTCTGCATCCGCACGGGCTGCACTTGGATCTGTAAGTCTTTGAGTCCAGGCACCTTGGCCAGCTTGCTGCTAGCTTTGCCCGCAAAACGCTTCTCTTCCTCTGCTAAGGGCAGCTTAGCAAGCACTTGCTGCAGCCGGGGGCCAGGCTCTTCGGGGCTGCTGTCCCAGGAGACCCCCCGAAGCAGGGGCGGCCGGGCAGGAGGGGGCCGAAGCTCGGCTTTGGAGCCAACCTTGGACCCTCCTGGCTCTCCAGCTGTGCCTTTTTCCTGGGGGGCCGGGTGAGCTGCCCCTCCAGAGCCCTGGGCTGGACTTCTGGGCAGAGGGTTGCCCTCCCTGGCTGTCTTCAGGAGTGGCTTGTCCAGCTCATTCTCAGCAGGGCCAGGCTGGGGGCTGTTCAGGGCCATTTTCCCGACACTGCCTAAGCCAGAAGCTGGGCCCTTGGGTATGGCCTCAGGGCACTGGAGGGGATCAAAGTTTTCCTTTTGTTCTATTGCAATCTCTTTGGACTTCTCAACTGTGGGAGTGCGAGGAGTCAGCCTGCCCTGAGACACTTTCCTCTGGTCATTTTGCTTCCGGTCAGCTAGCCCTTTGGGGATATTCTGAAAGAGACAAGGTAGAATGGGGACCCTGGAAGCAGACTGGGGAGCAGACATGTGGGACCATAGACCCTGCTAAGGGACATGTGTGAGTGTGAGATAGGTGGAAGACTGTACCAGTAAAGAAGACCCACAGACAAGCCTAAGGTTTGTAAAACACCCAGGACCTGCCATTCAAAACCTGCCAAGAACTCCCAAAGGCTAGGAGCCGGAGAGAAGAGTGGAACCGAGGGCAGCTCGGGCAGTCATATGTTTTGGCCTTAACTCAGTTACCCCAGATTCTAGTCCTGGCTCTGCCTGGCAAAGCCCTTAACTTTTAGGGGCTTTTATTTCCCATCAGGTTTGTGAACCCTCTGAAACTATATGTAAATATATATGCGTGTGTGTGTGTGTGTGTGTGTGTGTGTGTGTGTGCGCGCGCGCGCGCGCTATATTTTTGTGGGGAGATAATCCACAGCTTTTAACAATTTCTCAGAAAGTTTCATAATTTAAAAGAGGTTATGAATATTTAATGAGGATATTCTTGTAAGGGTGACATCTCACTGCTCAGAGGTTCACTGTCCTTTCATTTCCCAGGGGAAGCTTGCTTTGTGAGGAGCATCTGGCTCTGTGTTTGGTCTTACATGTGTGCTGAAACTCCCCCAGAGGACTCTAACCCAGATCCTTTCTAGATGAGACTGTAGTATATGCTGCCTTCAACATCCTCTCCAGCACTTTCCTCTGAGCAGGTGGGAGGAAACAATGAGGTTTCCCTGCTGCCCCAAGAAGAATTCCAACCAGGGGCTGGAGCCTTCCTGCAGTTTCACTATAACAAGTGTCTTGCTTGGCTCCTGCTGGGCCCCGAGGTCCCCCTGGTCTCTGGCCAGCAGCCTGGCTGGGGTTGCAGGGCTACAGGTAGGACCACCATGGAGGTCATCCCATGGAATCCTGCCTTCTTATCACCCCCACCTCAGATTTCCTGTCACAATGGGGCAAAGCAACTTTCTTGCCTCCCCAGCCTTGACCATCCACTCATGTCCACCCACTCATAGCTGCCTGGGGCCAGCCTAGGCTGCTAGCACACTGTTTCCCGCACCCAAACTGGGCAGAGCTCAAACTCACAGGCTCGCCAAGGTGATGTGAAGAGACTTCGGCCTCATCCCCCTTCTGCTGGAGAAATTAAACACCAGTCAGTCAGTGATGTGAAGGGACCTTATATCCTCTTCGAATATCCGCCACGAGGGGTATTCCTAGCAGTGGCATAGATGCCTCCCCCACCCAGCACTCTCACTTCAGTGGGTTGTGAAGGGCCTCTCAAGGTTAATAAGTAAGAGGAGAGACAAGTTGGCGTAGAAAATTCAAATGGGTCCCCTGTTACCTGTGCTGGTGCTCCGGGCAGAGGAGGCTGTGGGCCACTGCATGCATCCAAACCTGCAATGGTCCAGACACTGCTGAGAGCTGTCCAGCACCCCACACCTCAGCTGTTCCTTAAGCGAAGCACATCTACCTCCCCAGATGTCCTCCCCTATCTCCTCCAGGTCTGGGAGCCAGTAATGCCACCATTTGTTGAATGCCTCTTACATGCCAGGTTCTGTGCTGAATCCTCATTTAGTCATCACAGAAACCATACAAGGCAAATGAGGCAGGAAATGTCAGCACTGGGATCTGAACCCAGGCAGCCTGGCCTGAGCCTGAGCTTGCCCCACAGCTCTGACATGAGCAGGCTGCTCTCCCTGGCACCCTTCTTCCCCTGCTGGTCTGAGGGCGTGGCTCAGAACACAGCCTAATGAAAGAAAAGAAACCAAAAGGCAAAGAGTGGCTCAAATAGAGGCCTTTCCAAATAAGCTCTGAAATGAACTCTCTCTCTGGCTTCTCTCTAGGCAAAGAATGCAAGCCACAGCCCCCTCCCACAACCTACCTCATCCTGGTCTAGATCTGGTCTCCTCACATTAGCTCAAAACCCCAACGTAACATATATCTCCCACGTCTGAGACAGTCCAGCCAGGCTCAGCTGGGAGCCCCTGGAGAGGGGGTCAAACAGAGGGTCTACCTGGAAGCCTGCAAGATGGTTGGCCTTGTGGTCAGGCCAAGGGAGGGGATGAGCTGCCACCCAAAGGGAGAAACAGGGCGGGAACTGCCAAGGGGGCGGAACCTCACCAGGCAGCGTGGGGATGGTGAGTGAGTTGCTCCGCGAGGATGTAGGAGAAGCTCTGGGGCTGAGGTTTGGGGAAACAGCTGTTGAGACAGACACAAATTAGCCAGTTTTAGTGAAGGTTTAGGACTTCCGCTTAACACATACCGGTACATGCTTTCGGGTACCTCTGACCTCTGGGAACTCATTGAGATCAGGAGCTGGTTCTGCACTGTCGTAAAAAGATCCTACCACAGCCCAATGCCTCCCTGCTGCCAGCCCAACAGAGGGGGCACTGGGTCACCCGCAGGGATGAGGATTGGGGTCACACTCCTCAGCCTGCCTGGCCTGACTTGACCTCAAAAAACCTTTTAGAAACAGAGGACCTGCCATTGCTTGGCAGATATAGCTCCAAAAACTGTACCTCCCAGACTTGACAGGATGGCCCTGATTTCAGAGGCTCCCCTTGCCTTTTAAGTATATTCAGGCTTGTCTAAAATTTGCCTCAACTCTGTGTTCAGGAAAAAGAGTGACTTTAGCCAAAGGTGTAGCAGGGTAAACTTTAGGCCCAGGAAAACCTTAGTTCTAGCCCAGAAATTCCATGAAGACACCAAAGATCACCTTCCCCTCCCCTTCCAATTCCCAACAGTGCCTCAGATCTTTCCCAGGGGTTCCAGCTGGAAATCAGGGAGAGGGAGCCCATTGCTGGCCATTCCAGACCTTTGCAGGGGAGGTGCCCATAGACCAGGACCTCCTGGGGAAGGTGTGGGAAGCCATGCAGCCTGTCCATGCAGGCTGACCCAGGAGTCTGCACACACAGGCATCACACAGAGGATTTCTCTCCACGCAAAGATTCAGAGCTGGGGGAGCTCCGGTTAAGTTCATGGGTTTCATATGGGCAGACATTTCTCATAGAAACCGGAAGCCACAATGATCACACACAGGCCCCAAAAAACAAAAAGCAGAGCTGTCTGAGCTAGAGTTGGGTCAATATTTTGGAGCTTCTGAAATGGGGCCTCACTAGAACCTCTCCACTCAGTCCTATGCCTAGAGGCTGGGGGCAGGCAAGTCAAAGCAGGGCTTCCAGTGCAGCCAGGCTTGGCTATCCCCCCCTCCCCCGTCCCTCCTCAGAGGGGCTCAGGGGAGCCCATCCTACCTGACGGAGAGTCTCCGGGGCTGCTCCTGGACTTCCTCCCACGTCGGGTCAGGAATCGCTCACTCACCAACTTGGCTTCCTCCAGCAGCGCCAGGTTTTTCTTCTTGTCCTCCTCTGAGATGCTGATGTCTGGCAGCTGGTCATTTACCAGGTCAATGACATGCCCCGCAGGGTCTGCAGAGGGAGGGTGAGCACAGGGTGAGAGTCCCTGCTACTCCAAGCCCCAGCCCGGGGATGCTGCCCAGAGAGGACTTGGCCAGCCAAACCTCACGTGGGCCCCGTACTCTGTGGGGACAGGCAGGACTTTCTCATTAGGTTTGGCCCCTGTGGCTTCTAGCCTGTGGCTGTGGCAAGTCCTCTGTCACAAATGATCATGAAGCCACCTAGGTTCCCAGTACTATCCTAATCTCCACCGTTAGGGGAGACCAGCAGAAGCCCCACTCTGTGCTATCTGCCCTGCTAGAATGTTCTTCTTTCAGGTCTGTTTCTTCAACAAGCTAGTGAGCTCAAGGTGTGTGGATACAGGGAGTACTCAGAAGATCATGGGCCAAACACACAATCCCATGGCCACTTTTTCTCCTTTCTTTCCTCCACTCACACTGTTTACCTCCATTCTTGTTCAAAACTGTTTCTTCTCTGGGTGAATGACACCTAGCTGCTCAGAAATATGGGTGTCACTCCACAATCCTCCCTCTTCCTCAATCCCCCCACATCCAACCAATTGGTCATCAAGTCCTGATCATTGTTTATGCTGTATGGGTACCTATTGCTAGAATGTGCCTCTCATCTCCATTCTTGCTCATGAGCTTTTACCTGTACAGTTATATCAAACATTTCATAGTCCCTGCCCCCACCTCCAGGCTGTCACCTCCATCTCATCCTCCAGTGCCTATCACGATGATCTTGCTAAGAGCCATATCCGACCATGCCATGCTCCTATCTCACCTCATCAGGATTCTTCATGGAATGATGTCCAATGCCAAACTGGGCCCAGCCACTTTTGCTGACCCCATGTACTCCTCCTGAGGCCACTCCCATTGTAACTCTCCAGCCTCCATTCCCCCTTCTGTCCATCTTCATATCAGTTACGTCAGGAAGGAGCTAATCCTACCGCCCACCTCACTTCAAGTGCCAGGAATGGGACTGTGTACCATCCTCAGCCAGTCAGTGAATTCAATAGCCACAGTGATTGGTGCAGGGGTAGCCATGGGAGTTCAATGAGAGGCAATCCTGGGAATTGTATTAGATAATGGGGAAGAGGAACTCTCTTTCCAATGATGGGAAATAAGCCTGGAGTTGTTGGTAGCCATTTCCCACGAAGAGAGGGGACTTGAGAGATGGGATGGGACAATTATTGATGATCCAACTTAAGCATCTAGATTCAGTGCTACCTGAAACAACAAGCCCTGGCTTTTATTCATTTTCATTTCCTTTGGTTTAAGCTAGTTTGAGTTGGGTTTCTATCACATGAGACCCAACTGATACACACAGCTGAACATTCAGCTACTCTGTTATGGCTTCTGCTCCCCAGCGTGGTCCTTCAGTGCTACCAGCAACACCTTCCCTCCCTCTTGTCTGTCTCTCCAGCTTGCTCAAATACTCTCTCCTCTGAAATACCTACCCAAACTTCCCACCCCAGAGAGAACTGGGCCCCTTCCTGCCCCTGTTTCCTTAACACTTCTATAAAGGGCCTTAAAATACAGTGTCCTGATTATATTCACTTCTCAGCCTCTTCATAGACTCTGAACAATATGAAAGCAGGAACCAAATCTGCATCAAAACTGTGCTCTGGCCCTAACCGGTTTGGTTCAATGGATAGAGCATTGACCTGCAGACTGAAGGGTCCCAGGTTTGATTCTGGTCTAGGGCATGTACCTTAGTAGTGGGCACATACCCAGAAGGGAGTGTGCCAGAGGCATCTGATCAATGTTTCTCTCCCATTGATGTTTCTAACTCTCTATCCATCTCTCTTCCTCTCTGTAAAAAAATCAATAAAATATATATTTTTTAAACTGTGCTCTGATGGTCCATTGTAGGCTCTGAGGGACCATTTGAGGTAGGTAGCCTTGCATTCAGGTGCATGCCTACCTAAGGGGCAGAGAACTGTCCTCCCTGAGCCCTGAAATTGGGCCTCACACAGCTGTTCTATATCTCTTTGACTTTTTCTTTCCTCTTCACACCCTGGTCTTGTCTTTTTACCAAAAGAAACTGAGATGACACATCATACTTCTTTTGGGCACCAACACTGAGTGACTGAGTGACTTTGTCCTGTAGGGCTCATAGGGATGGGCCTGCCTGAGGAGCAGAGAGGGCAAGGGGCCCAGCACAGTCAAACTACCAGGCCTCATTCTTCTTTCTCCAACACACCTTCAGCTGGACCCCTATCTCTGGTTGCAGAAGTAAAGTAAGTTGGTCTAGCCCTTACCCACAGAAGTCAGCGGAGCAGTGGAAATCTTCAAGTGTCGGTGAGAAAGCCTCCGGTGGGGACTGTGAGCTCTGAAAGAATGGAGCCATCTTGTTAATAAAATTGATCCACAGCTTGGAAACAGGCAAACAGATGCCTGTATCTTTTTTCAAAGTCATATGAGTGCATCATCTTACAGGCTTTCTAAGTTTGAGAACTTGTTAGAAATGCAAATTCTCAGGCTCTTTCCCCCAGACCTACTGGATCAGAAACTCTGGGGGTGTGGTCCAGCCACCTGCAATTGACCAGGCTCCCCAGGGCACTCTGCTGCATGCTGAAGTTTCCAAACCACTGCCCTAATGATATATAATTTTGACTACTTGCTTTGGATAAAGGCTCTGACTGAATGGACATCTAACTCATAGAAAACTCATAAAATATAAGTAATTGTAGAGATGCATATGATTTCTGCTAAGGAGAAAAGATAAAAATAGGATTTCATTGTCCAGTAGAGCATTAACCTGTTTCATATTTAACTTACCGAATTTATTCCAGCATTCTTTTCCTCCTCGCTGATTATAAATAAATATATATATATATATATATATATATATATATATATATATATCCATTTCTTATATCCTCCTTTGAACTGGCTTTGTTACCCTGACTGGTCCCACATTCATGAGTTGAATATATCTTTGACACATGCTCACTATATATTTGTATGAGAATTATCTGTGTGACATTTTGTGAATTGTACGTAGACACTCATTCTAGCTAGATTAATGCATGGACTAGTGCTGTGTAAAACTAAGACATTGACATCCCTGTGCATGTGAGCCAATGTCTCTTCCAAGAAATCTTTCTCCAGGACCTATCCTGGCCAGGGGAAGGATTCTATAGTCAGAGACTCACATCCTTCAGGTCTGTTTGCAAATATCTGGGCAGTTATATAGGAAACTCCTATGCTGTGATTCATGCTTTTTTTTAAAAAAAAAAAAAAGGATAGCAGGGTGCAAAGAGCCAAATCTAGGAGAAGAAAAATAATTTGGGGAGGGGGGAAGAAAATGGAAAAATCCCAGTCTCTCTCTCACATTTTTGAAAACTTGCATGGCTGTATTTTCATCAATAAAATGATTCAAGAAAGAAGGAAAGATTTATAAAAATATAGCTGTCTAATCCTGTGTGCTAGGAAATGTTCTTCACAGCACAAAGATCAGACACCTGAGATGTACCTGTTGGCCAGGTTTTTGTCAGTTTCTCCTTCCAGTGAACTGGCATCCCCAGTCAGGACGATCGTGGGTGGACTGCAAGATATCCCTGCGGTGGGAGAGCCCTGGTGGTTTAGAATGAAAATACAGATGGAGTTAGGCTTGGGAGGAAGCTACCAGGAGATGGAGCTGAAGCCTGTATTCTAGCATCAGGATTCTCAGAGCCATCTTAATAAGGGGACAAATGCGGTGAATTTAGATTATTCAGAGATGGAAGGGGGGATATATATTTTTTTTCTCCTTCATTCCTCAGCAGGCATTCAGCTGAGCTAACAAGGTCCACCTTTCATGCATTAAGATTAGGGAACCTCTAAGCCATCCCTAGTGACATTGTAGGAAATCTCTGACAATCTAGGGAAAATGTGGCAGAGTGCTCAGGCTGTGGTCAACCTCATTAGGGGGGAAATGGAGGTCAAGAGAAGAGGTGGTGGTAACCACCCATTCCTGATATTCAGTGACAATCCTACATTTGGGTAAATGTGCTTAAAACCTCCTTCACCCATGCCATCTTTTTTCTTTTTAAACCACTTTATTAAGGTACAATCACTATACAAAAATCTGTACACTATACAAAAAGCCTTACCACAACCTGTGACATAAACCTATTCATCACTTCCAAAAGTTTCCTCTTGCCTTTTATTCATGATGATCATGATGAGAAAAACACTTATAAGATCCACTCCCTTAGCAAAGTTTTAGGTATAAGTACAGTATTGTTAATTCTAGGCACCTGGATCTCTAGGACCCACTCATCTTGGACAGCTCCCATATCATCTTGATGGAGCTTCTTTCCTATACAGCCTCATGGGTGACCATTGCCATAGGAATGTCAACTGAAACACTGACTGTGCTTGTAATATGTGTGAGGTTCCTTCCCTGGGTGGAGTTTATTTTGGTCATGAAAGTTTGAACTCTGCATATATTCATGTTTGTCATGTTTAGACCTTCTTCTTGTATAAATCCTTTGGTGAACAAAAAAAAAATGTACTTTGTCTAAAATATCATGTTTATTCTAGTTATATCATAAGGTTTTGGCCAAATTTTATAAATTCCCAACATGCTTTAGTGCAGATTGGATAAATCTATGTAAAGGGGCAAGAGGGGCCAATCATTAATTTCTGCACGTTGTGTTCTGAAAAAGAAAAAATCATGGTGGTTGTGATGTGGTTTTACTATATTAGAGGCCAGGCCAAGGGACCCCACCAGTGCATAATTGGAGCCAGGGAAGGATGTGGGTGGTTGGCCAGCCTGGGAGGGACTGCAGGGAGGGCTCCAGGACATGTCCATGTCCAGCCCATCTCACTCAGTCCCGATTGGCCAGATCCCAGCAACAAGCTAACCTACTGGTTGGAATGTCTGCCCCCTGGTGGTCAGTGCCCATCATCTCAAGTTGTTGAGCATCTTTAGCATCATTAGCATATTACCCTTTGATTGGTTGACTGACTGACCAGACAACCGGACATTTAGCATATTAGACTTTTTTTTTTTTTTTTTTTTTAAATAGGATACCCATGTCCAAGAGTTAAATGTATTCAGGCTACGAAGTAAGTAAAATATAGTTTGTTTTATTTTATTGACACACTAACTATTTTGTAAAACCATTTGAAGTAACCAACAATAAAATATAAGATTAACAAAACATGAGTCTATAAAAATGAGGGAATTATTTGGTAAATATAAACGTCCCTAGCAGATGAAAAGAAATGCATGCTCCTTCTAACCATCCAGGGTTTGACTCTGCAGTTCAACAATTTAACCTGAAATCTAATGAAGCTGTGATCCGTGTGGTCCAGGATTTAAGAGGGAAGCTTTTAAGAATTGCTCAGCAGGCAAAACAATGCAAAAAGAACTTGTCTCTACTCTCACCTCTCAAAGGACATAAAAAGGGAATGAATCTTAACTCCTATCCTTGCCTGTCCCCTCCCCTTGACTCTTCACTTGCTTACCACTCCCTTCTCTGTTTACTCATGCTCCACACAATTACTTATTGAATAGATTGTCTTAATATTTCTTTTTATGATTGACTCAGAAAAGTTTTCAAAAGTCTTTGGGTATAAGACAAGGGTCAATCTGTAAACATTCTCACACCATTATGCTTCATTCTGTCCATCTAGCAAACATTTACTGAATGCCTAATATTTGCTGGGGGTCTATGATAGGGCCTGGGAAGACAAAGATAAACCAAAGGCCTCTCAAATGCTTCTCAGTTAGTGCAACGCGATGGAAAATGGGGTGGAGTTATCCTTCCCGACCCCCAATTCCAGGTAGCTCCCAGGGCCTGATGCTCTCCCTGTTGACACCTGAGGTAAATAGCCTGCAAGCTGTGGGGGGCTACTTCTGGTTGAAGGCCACTTGCAACAAAGCTCTCACTAAGAGGAGGGTTGGGGCAGAGGTGCTCACACAGAAAAACAGAAACAAACCATGGTAGCAAGTGCCAAACATGTAACCACACATTTTTAAGCTGCTTAAAAGCCAGGAGGCATGTGCAATCAGAGAGAAATCCTTTATCCCTGATGGAATGTTCCCTACTCTCTCCTTCCAGTGTGTACAAAGTGCACAGTAATAAAATCAAAGTGTTCTTTTCCTAATCTGTTCACGAAATGGTTGAGCAAATTCTGTACAATTTCTAGTTTTTTTTCAGAACTGTTTTGAGAGGAACATTCAGTCTTTTGTGGGCTGTGGTTCACCCTGGCAGGCACTGGGGAGACAGTGATTTAGGAGAGATGTGGGAAGAATCAGGCCCCCTGGAGTGCATCCTGCCAGGTGTTACTATGGTCTAAAGATCCATCTGGGCTCTCACTCTGAGCTGCCAAACAGAGGCATGACCTGAAGAAAGCTTGTGGGGCAGTGTGTTCAAATGCAGACCGCAGGTAAATTCCTGGTTTTAGGACTGCAGGGGCCTGGGCCTTGGGAGCCACACTAATTCATGATACAGTTTCTCATGTACTAGCTGTGTGAACTTGAACAAGTTCCCTTGACTCCCTGTGCCTTGGTTACCTTATCTGTAAAATAATTATGTCACAGGGTGGTTACAAGAACCAAATAGGTTGATATAGCAGTAGGATTGCCAGATAAAATACAGGATGCCCAATATTCAAATAAACACTGAATAATTTCTTAGTATTAAGTATTGCCCCAAATATTGCATGGACATAACTTTTTCATTTGTTAAATCTGGCAGCTCCAGATGGAAAGCTTATAGGACACCTGGCCCCTAGTAAATGCCCTACGAGTGTCAGGTGTTATTCTGTTATTGCTACTTTTGGAACTGACTTCATTGTTTTGGAATTGGGTTTTGAAGAGATTGTCTTTCTTGGTTTGGGGTCTGAACAACCATTTGGAGTTAAATTAGGGGGACCAGCCTGTCTAGTGGCGCCACAGAGCATCTTCCCCAGGCACCTGACCACATGGCCTGAGTAATCAATAACTCCCAGAGAAAAAGCCCACCTCCAAGGCCATATCCCCCTCTCTCACCATCTACTTCTCAGACCAAAGACAGATGTCCTTTATGGGTGTCAGATGTCAGTCACGGGAAGCAAAGGAACAATGTGAGTACAAGGAAGTGGCACTCGCAGACCTGTTGTGTACCAGGCCCTCTCTCAGACGCTTCCCGGTGCCTTCTCATTCGATCCTATCAGCAATTCTGTGCATGAACCTCAGAACACCTCCCGACAACTTGGGGCTGATAATACCTCCCAACCTCATAGAATCGCGAAGAGGAAATTAGAAAGTGAAGGACCTGAGCATGAAGTAGGTGACAGGCACATTTCTTTTCTCACTTTCTATCCCCTCCTTAAACAGACTTGTTCAGGGCTGGGCAGATGGTAAATGGTGGAAGGGACTAAACACTAGGCCTGTTGACTTTTCCACTACACAAGCTACCCTTACAGTCATCTCCAGGTCTTTGGCCTCACTTCCTCATTCCTGGTGTCCATGGGTCTCCAACAATCCTGTCTTATTCTTCCAAGCTGCACCCTCCCTCATAAGCCCTTTCTTCCAGGCAGCCCTCAAAGTGCAAGGCTGGACACACAGCTGAGTAAGGATAGCAGAGGCACCCCTTACCCTTCCAGGAACCCAGCCTCCCCCTGGGTCCATTTCCCTCCCCTAGAGTCAGCCGAGTACTGGGGGGCTGGGCTATCCTGCAAGCTCACCCACCCTATAATAAGCCAGCAGGTCACATTTTGTTCTCCTTGAATAAACTTATAGAAACATTTAAATATTTATTTCACTCATAACTTCCCAGGAATGCACCACAGTTTCCTAACTGCCTGGGGTACAGGGATAAATATAGGCCAGTGTCGTAGACGGGAATATTATCTTCCTTCCCCCAATGTCATGTGACTAGGCCTAGGCTAGGAAGCTCTAAGCAATAGCCCCAGCCCCAGCCGAGGGGGAGTGGTGAGGTTAGCTTCTGCACTAGGGCCCTGGCAGAGAGAAGGACCCTGCCAAAGGCAGTGTGGGTAGTGAGCCAGGAGGCCTCGACTGGAATCCCACCTGGGTGACTATGCCCAGGTTACTTAACTTCTCTGAGTTTCATGTTCTCAAACGTTGTATGGAGCTAATAATCCCCATTTTCCCAGGCTTGTTTTAAGGATCTGATGAGCTAAAGCAATAATAATAATGATGGTGTGGAGGGGGTGGGTGGAAGGGTGGACACTGTGGTGGCTGCATCCCCAGGTCCCTCACAGCCTGGAGGGCAAACAGGGACTGCCTCTGGAAGAGGGGTCCTGGCTACAAAGAGGAATTAGTGCTCTTGTGACAGGATAGAAAGACACTCTGGGGACTTGTGAGAACATGATTATTTTAGAGGCAAGTCCTAAGAGCACTGGAGGGAGCGGAAGTGCCTCTGTTGAGGTCTGCTGGATGTGGGCTCCTTCCTGCTGAGGTCTGGGGACCCGAGTCTGAGAAGGCTCCGAGTGCCCACCATGTAGGTTCCGCCTTCCTCATGCACCCTTGCCCTGCCATGTTTCTGGCGGGCCCTCTTTCCTGCCATTGCTCACCCTATTCCTATAGGTCAGGGACCAATAATCACCAGGTTATCCTGCCTTTTTCATCACTCTTTGGGCTCTTATGCCATCGGACTTCAGGAATATAGACATGCACACAATGTCTATCAGTCTTGCTGGATGGAGAGTATATCACCCAGCCAGCTAGTCACCCAACCATCTTTGTCTTCTACCCTCTCCTCCTTACTCCATTTCCTCCTCCCTTCGGTCCAGAGATTTAATCATCCAGCCTGCCAATTATCCACCCAGCCTATCCCACATCCAGCCAACCTCCTTCCACAAGCAAACACCGCAGCTCCAGCCTGTGCTGGGAACTGGAGAAGTGCTCAGGAAAGAAACAGCCCTGACCTTTCCTAGTTCACATATAGACTGACAGGGGAATCAGAGAAACAAAAAATGACCGGCTACTCCAAGGACAAATAATTGTAATATACATTCCTGACCATTGTAACATTTAACATTTCTAAAACAGGATCTGCTTTGTCCTAGGCACAGCTCTCGCTGTGTGACCAGGACCATTAGAACCATCCTGGTGAGACTGATCTTTTGACCCTTTACAAGCTTCTTTTTTTTAATGGAGAGCAGAGCATCAAGCACCTGCTGTCCAGGGCACTGGCTTTACTGCTGGGTGGGACCAGAGAGGGCACAAAGCTGGCAGGAACACCTCAGCAGAAACTTGAGTTTCAGTCTCCCTCAACATAACACAACTATGTGACATTGACAATTACATAACCTTCGAGACTTCATTTCCTCTTCTATAAAATTGAGATAATAATATCTACCTTGGAGGGATGAGCACATAGTAGGTGCCCAATAGATGTCTCTGATATCTCATACAATAGATCCTAATGCTTTCCTGACCATTTATTTTATTTTTTAATATATTTTTATTGATTTCAGAGAAATGGAGAGGGAGAGAAACATAGAAACATCAATGATGAGAGAGAATCTTTGATGGGCTGCCTCCTGCATGCCCCCCACTGGGGATCAAGTCCACAACCTGGGAATGTGCCCTTGACCCAGAATTGAACCCAGGACCCTTCAGTCTGCAGGCCAACGCTCTATCCACTGAGCCAAACCAGCTAGGGCTCCTGATCGTTTATTTAAAGCTATCTCATAGAGAATCCTAATAGAGGGTTGTTCTTGCAAAGGATGTGATGAGACAAGTGGAAATGAGTTCAGGGAGGATGAATTCAAAATCCTCAGTTGGAGCTTTCAAGGGACCGCCTGGTTTCTAGTGACTGGCGTGTGCTTACCACGTTTTTCTCATCTGTAAATGGGATAATAATCACACCTACCTCCTAGAGCTGTGAAGTTACTTAGTATAGAGTTCTCAGAACAGTGTCTGTCACGTGGGAACCATGGCATGAGGGTCTTAGTGGATGAGCTGGGGAGGCGTCCCTGCTCTGCACGTCCTTACCAGGTCCCATGTACATGTTTTACATGTAATATCTATTTTATCTTCACTTCATTCCTGACAGAGAGAATCAGTTCTTTGGGTCCTTTTTGCCCCCTAAGGGAACACACATTTTCCAAGGGGTCTCCAGGGAGGTGACCTTTCCTGTTCAGAAAACAAGCTCAGGGCACAGCCTCACAGAGTGTATTGGCAGGAGGCTTCAGTTCTTTGTGGGTTTTGATTACAGCTTCTGATGAAGCTTCTAGTGTGTGTGTGTGTGTGTGTGTGTGTGTGTGTGTGTTTATGTTCATGTGTATGTGTGAGAGTCTCTTTGTGAGTGTGTATCTATATTGGCATGTATGTATGAGTCTCTCTCTGTGTGTCTATGTTTATATGTATGTCTGAGAGTGTGTGTGTATGTGTGAGTGTACGTATGTCTATGTTCGTGTGTATGTGTGTGAGTGTATGTGTGTGTGCAGAAAGAAAAACAGGATCTGGGTCTACTAATTTATTGTTTTTGTGTGGGAAGGCCTCAACTAGTGCTTGTGTCCGTGAGGGGAAATGGGGGCTGGGGCCTGAGGAGCCAGAAGTAGGGCTGGGCCCTGGGGAGTTGTAAACTCAGAAGGATGCTCCATTCTTTGCCTGCTTCACAGAGTGGGAATTCACACGCTACCAGGAGTTGCAGTGGAGCCCTCCTAGCCAGCCCTACTTCCCTGGCTGACTGGTTTCTGCTGCTTCCAGGGAGTCAGGCCCCCAACCTGGAGGCTCCAGCCTGGCTCATGGGCCTGACCCTCCCCTGAGGGTATGGTTGCCTGACAAGGCTTGTCTGATGGGTGCAGTAGAGAGAGATGCTCTTCACAGACAATGACTGTGGGCTTCCAGAGAACTCAAGGAGGCCCAGTGCCTGCCATAAGGGCAGAGAATAAAATAATACTGAAAGTGATGTGGTCTTTAGTCTGAGGTATAACCTGCCCTAGCTCTGTTGATCCTCAGGCCAAAGAAGACACTCAAAGGCTGGCTGAACAGACAGAGTCTAGAAGCCAGCCACCAACAGTTGCCCTGCTGGGGAAATGAGGAACTGGAGACACAGAAATTTTAACAGACTCACACAAGATCTCTTGACCAGGATATGGAAGAGCAGTGACTCCAGCCCAGCTTCCAGGGGCAGGAGCCTGAGTCCCTGGGAGCAGGAAAACCAGGCAGCAGTGACTCCAGAGTCCACATTCTTAAGTCCTGTGCTCATGGTCCTCCCTTATAAGACCTGAGCATGCTGGCTCTGCTTACCTGAATGGCAAGGCACAAACAGTCTGTTTTCTTGACTTTTCAGAAGCACGGAGATAGAGTCATGGCATTTGAAGGATCTTTAGAGACCACCCCCTCATGTTATAGAAGTCTGTTTTTAGCTCAAGATCATAGGGAGAGTGAGCTATGGGGACCCAAAATCTGGAGCTTCAGCTATTCATCTAGGATTCTCTGTCCCTCAACTGAGTGGTGGGCTCCTGGAGCCCATCCCCTGCCTGGCCACCCCTAAACACTTGCCCTCACCTCTGACCCAATGCAGCTGCACCCATGTCTGGTTTGAAGCCATGAAAGTCAGAATGGCCAGCAAGCTTCTGTGCTGCCTGGTTTGGTGTCTCCTGAAAGGTGTGAAGAATCCTTTAGAGAAGTTGGGAACCAAGATGAGCTGAACTCAATGTAAAAGGATCTCCTCACTGAGGGTGGAATTGCATCTTTGCCCATCTCTTAATATTATTTTTTAGGAATACTTGTATTCGTATTCTTAGGGAACACAGCATGGCAGCTGTTTGGGAAAGCTGCCCAGGATTCCAGAGCTAGGTTTTGCATCAAAATCTAGCTTACGGGCACTACCATTGTTAGTGAAGTGGAAGCAGTCAGGAATAACGAAGGCAAGGAGTCCAGGGCTGAGGAGTAGGGAGGCTAAGGGGACAAAACATTGGAAAATAGTGACCTAAAGACTGCAAATAGTCACATTTGACTACAGATGGAAATATTTTATTCTTAGTAATCATTCCTTTCTTTAATCTCCAAGTTTTCAGTAGGTGAACACATTTTATGGTTGGTTAAACCTTTAGCCCTCTGTTGGCAACGCTTTGGGGGAATTGTCCACACTTGGTAGGAACTGCAGTAGGAGAGGGGCAAAGCACTGAGTTTGGGGAAGGCCAGCAGTCACAGCAGAGAAGCAGTCTGGAGCCACTGAGAGTAACTGAGGAGCAGCGCCCCCATGGTTCAAGACCTTCCTGAGAGAGGAGGGCTCAATAATACCCTGAACTGGCTGCCTTTTGCCAAAGACATGGGGGCTTGGCCCACTGTCATTTAAAAATTCAAGGCTGCCAAGTTCTGAAACAGCATGAGCTTAGGACATGGAGATACAAAAGGCCATTCTTTTCTAAGTATTTATTTTCTAAGTTCCCAGAGTTATGATGTGTAAGAAAACAAATGTCATCGTAACATGAAAACATTCACTAAGAATCTTGCCACTTGTCAAATGAATGCTCACTCGTACATTCTTCCCTCACTTAGCAAGTGTCTATCCCTTCTGGCTGAGGGTAGTTGGGATGACTGTCAGATATATAAGACTCATATAAGTTCAGTGCAACGTCAAAGAAAACAAGGTTGGAGAACTTCACGTGCAAGGTCTTGGACCAATGAGGAACAAGTGGAGCTGGATTAGTTAACAAATGAAGAACAAAATTATGAAGAAATAGAAGATAGGTTCTTCATGAGGGAATAATTTGAATATTGAAGGATTTAAATAGGTCCTTGGAAAACAAATGAAGATCTCAAACAAGAAACAAACAGAATCTCCAAATGAAGGCATTGTACAACAAAATGTGAAGGAAGTGGTATCAAGTGAAAGATCGTCTTGTTGGTATAAAAGTAAATATGCCCACGGCAAAATCAACAAACTTGATTAATTCTTTGTTCATTCTAAAAAGTGACATATAATCTATATTTCATAGTATATATTGCTAAAGATAAGTTGCTTTCATAATTTCATTTGTGCAATGCAATCTCAACTTATTTTCATAATTTCTTTTTTACAAAATACTTTTGCTGAAAATCTTGTTCACTATTTACTATGAAAATCTGACCTTCATTTTAAGTGACTCTTGCTGCTGCTCATGACCCTGCATAAGGTTCTCCTTCAAGTCTTTCTCTATTCTAGGAGGAAGCCTATAGGGTTAGGATGGTTTTACATCCCAGGAGGCCTCAGACACAGCCTAGAAGGCTCCAGTCTCAGGGTATGTGGTAATCTCGAGCAATTCAAAGGAACTTTGTGTGTCTATTTCTCAGTGTGGACACTGTACACCTTTCCCAGCCTCCCAGTGCAGCCTGCATGGGCTGTCTACAAACCCTCTGGCCAGACTAGACACTATGGCCTCAGCATAGGGTGCTTGGCTTGGCCCTGTCCAAGCTAGCTGCAGGCAGGGAGGGGGCACTTACTTGGCCGATGGGGCTCTGAGCTGCCTGTGGCTCTCCGGGGGGCTCCTCGTCCTCGGGAATGTGGGGCATGGCAGCCTTCTGGCAGGACTGGCCTCGGGTGCCCGGAACCTCTGCTGTGTCAGCCCCAAAGATGCTCCAAGAGGCCTGGGCTCCGCAGGCTGAGGAGATGCCAAAAGGACAAGTCAAATCCTCTCATATCCCCGAGCCATGCTGGGTTCCATTTCCGGGGTTCATGAGCTGCAGAGAGAGCCTGCCTCAGTTTGCGTCAACACCAGAAGTGGGAATAGAGGGCTTTTGGAATTGCATTTCCTCCTGTTCACTAGCTCTGTTTACAAAGTCAGAGGTGGCCTTAGAGATTTTGCATCTAATTTGGTCTTTACAGTAAACACAGCTATCCTGGGAGGGAGAACTAATGGAGGACACTCCATAGGGATCCATCTACTTATCTACCATTTGAGCATCTACTGGGTGCCAGGCACTATCCTAGTAGCATTATCAGCATTGCCTAATTTAATCCTCACAATGACGGCTAATGAAGGCATCAAGATTCACATTTCACAGATGCAAAAACTGCTTCAGAGAGTGGCAGCCATTTGGTTCTCATGAAGAACCAAGCATCTGAATTCAGATCTTCCTGATTTTGAGGCCAGGGCTCTCTCCACTATACCACACAGCCTGCCTTGGCTGAGTTGGGGAAGAGGAAGGGATGGTATTTCCTGACTTCCTGCCCAATAGCTCACCTCACACCCTTTAGCAGTTCTTCTAACCCTCAGTGGGGGCGCTCTGTCACTTGTGAACAGAATTCATTGGGCCTGTCAGCCCTGCTAAAGCCATGATTCTGGAGGCTTGGCCTGGGTGGATCTCATGTGCTTTGTGCAGTGTTCACCCCAGAAACCTTAGGTTGCCTCCCCCAAACCAAGCTTACCCCCTCCCCATGGAGTAACAGCCTTGAGGTCCTGCTGAATTGATCCCAATTAGCATAATCCCATCAATCTTGCCACAGTGATTGGCTCAGGGACAGACAATAGATTTAGCCTAAGCCAATGAGCATGTGGCAGTGTTGAAGGGCCCAGATGTTTTCTCTTGCCCTGGGTGATAGAGTGTGCAGATGTGAGCCTGGTGCTGCTAATGCCATTTTACTTCCATGAGGAAGGCCAGACTGAGGTTAAAACTGACACCCACAGAGCCCGGGGCAGAGCCAACAGACCTGCAGAGAAATGGATCTGGAGCCCTGATCAGAGTTCATCTGCAGGCTGAACTCTTTCTAAACTAGCCAGTTTCACAAAGAAATTTTTTAGTGTTTAAGTCAATTCAGGTTGGGTTTACTTATAACTGCTAACTTGTTGTAACTCCTATACTGTCACGTGTAACCACTAACTGCTCTTTCACGTTTCTTGCGAGTCAAGGGGCCTAGAACTATGATCTCTTGAACAGACCTGAGCCAATGGGTCTGGCTCCTCTGCTTTCTCCTGGAAAAGGAGACCGGTGATGTCAGGCTCCATCTGGAGAGACAGGATAGCAAGATAGAAAGAACATAGGCTTTGAAACCAGATTCCTGGGTTTGAGACCCCTCTCTGCCACTCAGTGGCTATGTGGCCTTGAACATGGGTTTCACTTCTGAGCCTCAGAGAGCACTGCCTGGCCTCCTCCCACCTCTAAATGGTACACATGCAGAGAACAAAGGTCATTCTCATTTTCGAGCACCTACTATGTCCTGGGTCTTATGCAAGGTACAGACTGCTGGAGGCTGCAGAAGGAAGAAGTAGAAAGCCCTGCCACTTCCCATAATTCTAGTTACTGACCAGTGGCCACACCTGACACATGTGCCTCAGGCTGAGCTCCCAAATGCAGGCAAGAGGTCTGATTCCTCATGGGTAACCAAAAGATTTAGCCAAAATTTTTTGTTGCTTTGTATTTAAAGTCTAGAGAACTTCAACCCTTGGGTTGGTTGGTGTGACCATTATCTAGACTTGCTATTGTCTGCAGTGGAAAGGTAGTCCCATTCGTCTCTGAAACAGTGTGGGTGACCCCTACTGCACAGCTCAAGAAATATCATCTCACGTAGACTATGAACTGAGCATTCATTCATTCATTCATTCATTCACTAAACCCAAGCACTGACTTTACATCCACTCTACCAAGCCCTGTGCCAGGTGCTGGTGACATAAAGATGATAAAGCTTTGGTCTTGGCCTTCAAGAGGAACAGAGTCCAGTGGCAGGAGGCAGCTGGAAAACAGCATAATGGGATAAATAATTTGAAAGTGAGAAGTTGCAGGATCCCAGAAAAAGGTTCCGAACTATGATGGATGGAATTATGATGGATGGAATATAGTGAAAATTCTACATTAGAAATGGTGTTTGTGCTGAGCCAGGAACACTGAAATACTGAATGGAATTTATCTGAACAAACTGGCTGGAGGCCTAGAGTGGGAGGTGAGTCAAGAAGGGAGAAGCCATGCTGGACAGATAGAACCTGCCTCTCAGCAATGAGAGCTATGGGGCCAGGTCATGCTGTCTCCATCCCAAATGCTGCCTCTCAGACCTGGTCACTATGGCAATAAATTGAGCTTTATAGTTGCCCAAAGATGAGCTCTGTGATTAATTTCTATTACCTTTACTCAGACTTCAGCAGCAGTAATATTGGTGATGCTGGTAGCAAGGTAGCAAGAGTACCCACAAACCCCAATTCTATCAGGGAAGTGGGCTACACTTCCCAAGAAACCACTTAAAATGATACGTGATGTATGTGCAGGTCCAGGTCCAGGCTGTCTTAATAGGAGTATGATTTCTAAAACATGGAAGATGACAGTCTCACTTTTCCTTTATGTCTTAATCTTCACAAAGCATATTGTGCTCTGCATGCTGTGAAGGATTCAGATAAATTGGTAATATTTTTTTTTTTTAAAAAGGGGGGGTGGGATGGAGCAGGATGTAGGGAGACAAGAAGTCGTGTTTAAAGAACTAAAGATCTTTAGCCTGGAAAAGAGATGGTACGGGGAGAAATAAATCTCTTCTCAGGCATTTGAAAGCCATTTGTGTAATACTGTTGTTCCCAAAGGACAAGTTCATGAACAATGGCTGAAAGGCCAGATCAAAGCAAGGGAAAACTGTCTAGTGGTTGGCAATGGACTACTCTTTAAGTAAGCTCCCTGTTCCGAGGAGAGTTTCAGCAAAGGCTGTGACAAGGGTCACAGGATTCCTACCCACTTCAGGGATCTTTTCCAATCTTTGATGCCCCTAAAATCCTGTACCCTTTCTAGTCACTATAAACCACAGATTTGATATTCCCATCCTATACTCCTTAAGCAACATTTTAATTCAGTTCCTGGGTCAGAAAGCAAAGTAAAACAGAAATAAATTAAGTCAGACAAGCCCTGAAAGGTGTCAGCTGCTGCAAGATAAAGCAGAGTAGAGGCTGGCTAGATCCCACACTTGACAAATCAGAACCCTGGGCCCTCAAGGGGAGTCCCAGCAACTGTGCCTGCCCTGGCCATTCCCACGCTGCTCCTGCCCCTTTGTTTTTTCTCCCTCCCATCATTATAAACTTGCTGCTTAAAATAGCAAGGTAAAAGCAGAGTCCCTCCCCCAGGGTGACATCTGGGTTCTGCTGGAGTTCGTGGGCACTCGGACCTCACATCCATCACAGCAAAGTTTAGAATACAATCTCCAGGAAGTGGTGATCTAGAGCACCAACCCATAAAAGGGAAAAATATTTAGTAATGTTTGGTCTCCAGCCGCTCCTTCTTTAATGCATTTTCAAGGCTTTCCTTGCTGCATCTCAGGCTTGGTCAGTAAAGGGTTAGGTGAGTCATTAGCCAATCAGCTCTTTGGGCTCTACTCATTCTGGCCCCAGCCAGTGTTTAAGTTTAACCTGGCCCCCTTTACAGGAAGGAAAACTGAGGTGCAGAGAAGGGTAGCAACTTCACTGGATCCAGTTAGCTTTGTATTTGGTGCGAATTATCTACGAGCCTCTGTTGGTAAAAGTATCCAATCATTTGTGTAACTGAAAAGGCCAACAATTTCTGAACCATATTTAAATATGTTATCTGCACCCTGGACATGCTCATGGGAGAAAGCAAACTAACATATTTTCTTTACTCATTCATTCATCAGTTATTTCGAGGTTGCCTACTGAGTATCTGACACCAAGAGTATGATTTCAAATGCTATGTTATTTAACCCCTGTGATATGGGTTTTATTGTTTCCATTGTATATATGAAGGAACTGAGAAACAGAGAGGTGCAGCAACTTTCTCAAGGTCACACAGCTAAGTGGCAGGCCAATGATTATAACCCAGGAGTGTCTGGTTCCAAGGCCCGTTATCTTTCCCCTCTTCTATTCCACCTCCTCCACCAGGAGTTCTGCTAAACCACAGCAGCGTGACTCAGTACTGAGCCCCCAAGAACTGGAGTGTGCATTCCCCGAGGGGCTAAGGATAGGTGAGGGGGCAGGGAAAGAAGCAGCAGGTGGTCAAGCCAGAGGTCGTATGTGGACAAAGCAGTGGGCCCACCGTTTGAGGTTGTATGACCCACATTGTGGGGGTGCAAACCCATCTATTCATTCATCTGTCTGTCCATCCATTTACCTATTCTCCTGACTTTTCAATTTACACACGTGTCCGTTAGTTTTCCATCCAACCTTTCACCCCAGGAAGTCTCATGCCTGTGGCATCAGCAGCACAAGCTCTGCCCCTGGGAATAGCCTCTGCATGACCCCATGGGCTGTGGGGAGAGGACATAGGGCGGGAGAAGGCTGCTCTGACAGAGGGGCTCTGTAGGCAGAGGCATGCCCATCTAACCCTCCATTCTGCACACTTCCGCTGGGGGTTGGGCTGCCTGTGTCCCAGCAAGCATTGGGCCATCTTCTGGAGTCATGACCTAGCAAGGGCCAGTACAGAGATCACCCCCCCGGTGCTCTCGGCAACCCTGTGAGGTGGGTACCATGAGTATTATTATTAACAGCATGATTAGTCCCATTTTACAGAAGAGGAAACAGGGGCCCAAAGACTTGCCCAGGAGTGGTTGTGCAGAAAGTCAGAGCAGGTTGTCCACCTCCCCAGCCCCTTGTAGGGCCAAGCCCACCTGCTCATGGTGGTGTTCTTGACAAGCAGTGGCCTCTCACGATGGCCCCAAGGATGCCTCTCCCAGAGCCTTGCG